GTGTTGCGCTATGGGAGTGTGAATAAAAATGTCACCTATTCTGTTTACCGGGCAGTAACGGGTTAGCCGCCTGGTCAACACGAGACTGATACCAACACGATATGCCTTGTTGCTACAGTCACTGCACATGTAAACCGTTCGCACACTAAAGATCAAATGATTTAAACGTATCTGATGATCACCGTGGTGGGTCGTTTTCCGTGTCTGTGTGAGTCACTGGGTGTAGGTTTCTGCTTTTAGACGCGAAATGTGCGATTCCTCAGTTTGAAGGTACTGCGCATTGCGAAATTTCCTTGTCAAACATTTGAATTGCCTACCGATTGAGTTAGACATTCAAACAGAGGAAACAAGCACTGGTAACCCAAACAATTGCGAATACACAGAAAGAAATGCAATTTTCCAAACAATCGCGATTGTGTGTGAGCTCAATTGAACGGCTAGAAAGAAACAGTCGTTAACAGAATAGTCTGAGATTACTCATACCATGTTATCGAATCAAGAATATAACATCTAATTTGGCTCTACTCAGTGATCAGCCTTTTTTCAATGCGAATACTCATTCCTCAAACACCACACATCATTGCTCAGTTTTCTGTAGTGTTGATAGTCAGGGCAGTATGAAGAAGAAGTAACCTACCAATGTAGCTCACTGATAGCCATTTAGTGTAATAAGCTTCTTTTACTTTAATGTTCGTATTATCTGAATTAGCTGTGAAATGTATCCTACGTCGGAGTTGACTTAAGTCTACATAGTTCAATCACTGAATTTTTCTACAGGTGCAACTGAATTTCTAAAAACGAATGAAGTGCGCAACGTCATCGAGAGCACTAAACCACGTTTGCCTAGCGTTCTTTTGCATTTCAATCGGTCTGTCGAATACAAATTGAGAAAAAAATGAGACATCATTTCTAGCAAGTACGTATACATGACCACTATGATAAGCACGTGTAAACGAACGGAGTGAACCTATCATCAGTTGGGTCTTTCAGTGTTACTGCATTTTTCGCGTGTTCACTGTATCCACTTAACACAAGACGGTGACCAATACCATCAAATCCGATTGGGACAGTAGCTATGCCACGATTATACAATAAACAGCCAATCGATTTGAGTACTTGCCGGACCGCACCCACCCATAACAAAACCTCTTAATCTCATGCCTCGCTAAAGCGAATATGGCTTCTGATTCAAGTGGAGTTCTTAAGCCAAAAGAAGGCCCTGAAGATAGAAGATCAGGTCCATCATTGTTGACTGAAACAAAAGAAATGGAGTCATAACCGTTCGGCACATTCGACCGCGGTGACAGATTTACGCCAACTTTGGACAAATTTCCGATTCACCGAGCGATTATACTTAACTGAATCTCTATAACCGGTTGTCTACCCATTTCCATCTTTACATTCAATGTTTCTCAGGCGTATTACTCCTTGTCAGATTTCCACATTCCCATGTGCTAGTAAACTGGGCAGGGTTTGATCTAGCCAGTTTCAGCACTGGTTGTAGCAGCAATAATGGGAGTAGGATGAACGCATACCCGAATTTCGATGGCACTGTCTCAGATCTGACCAAAAGTGAGGATGTATTCATCTTCAAACGCAGTGGTTCCCTCTTTAGATTCACATGATCTGACCTAAACTACACAGATACCGTGTCAAGATTAACGACATTCTAGAAAAGTCAACAGGAAGGGACCAATCATCCTACTGGTTATTCAAAAATCTGATGTATAAGACAAATTTTCTATGCACGAAAATGTTGGTAGATCCCCAAGCCATTCGGCTTCCTGCCACAAGACAGAGGCGGTAAAATGTGGCGCTGGACACCCGGGACTGGAAAGGACAAAGGTCACTCTAGCATCGACCAGATTATGACGGCAGGGGATGCCAAGCTCAGAGGTCACGTAGGCATCGGCGAATGAGGACACGGGACAACGGAGCAACCAATGGAATCGCCCGACCGAACAACTAATCGCGATCAAAGGTCATCCTCTGCCAGCAGCACGTATATTAGCACACGCACAACACTACCCAACGCACAACCACCAACCCACCGCTACGCACTCCTACGCTGCACAATAACGCACTGATGATGTCACCTCGTTTGGTGATGAAACGTTTGCAATCAAATTGCACAGCTCAGCGAACAAGCCAACGACCACCAAGACAAATTTTCCTTGGGAGCCGTTTTGGCTCTATTGTTCTTCATATTTTATACAACCTATTTGCGTTAGTTCTCGGTTTTTATTCCCTCTGCTTGACTACATTTTAAGTCCTGTTCACTTGAGCTGGTATATCTGCACCTTGTGCACGTGGGAACGGCGATTATGCTAGGGTGTGGTCGCTAACAGGAATCTGCTCTTGCTCCACTCAGCTAGAACCGACTTATTTTAGGAGATACTTCCAGCGCTCTACGTTCATATGATACTTTGCCATTAGAAGAACAACTAACTCTTCCTAAATACGGGCGATTTTCCGTTAGAGAGTGAACAGCCACATAACATGCATATTTGTTAGTGGTGTTGAACGCCACATTTTACTGCTTCTGTCTTGTGGCAGGAAGCCGAATGGTAAGTTCAGAATCTGTAATGTTCAGTAGAAAACTTGCATGTCCGTGACGAAGTAACCTACGGTGCATCATGGTAGAGCAGGTCATTCTTATCTGTAATTCTGGACGCATGACATCCACTGAGGCTTGAGTGTAACCGGAGCCGATACAAGTCACTTTATCTACGTCTGATTGAGAAGTCATATGACAAGCACTCATGGCGAAAGAGCATCTCTCCATTGTCCATAGTCTTTTCAGGTTTCTCACATTATCACCAATTTATCCTTAACTTATCGTTATCAAATGACCTTACCGCCTGCTTTTTGCGATTTTCACTTGATGGTCAAACCCATCCAGGCGGTTGTTCATGGTGTGTTATAATCATATTTTTCGGTCGTGTTCGTTCCATTTCTGGCGCTTGACCCGTTGCAAATTACTCGTCCGCGGCCGAGCGCAGAATAAAATATCAAAAAGTGGAAAGCCAGAACACTCTTTTCTTCACTGGTGCATCCCCAAAATTATTATAAAAGTGCATCGGGATGTAAAAGTGTTGATAACAGAAAGAAATAAGGCGGCGGTCCACCAAGTAACACAAGTGGAGAGAAAAACAAATTACTAGTGAAATACACCGAGAGAAAGCGAGTCAACGGAATACTTATTTGCAGGAGTCTTTCTCGTGCTTGCTACTAGCAATCATAAGAAACTTAACCGATTCAATTTTATCCACAGTTAGCTATTATCCTTCCCTTTTAATTAACCTAGTGAAGCGAACAATCAAACTGGTTCCGTTTACGATGACTAAACCTCTAGAGCTATATCTGCTTCCGCATTCTAGGCACTTAAACTACAGCCTCCCGCATAGTAGTGACCAATGTATTATAATCCTGAGAGGGCATCGGAGGAGGATCTTCGTCTCCTTGTTTTTAAGACCATCCGACCTTCACAGTTAAGTAGCTTTGATTTGAAGATTGGTATTTGACGTGTTCCTGGATGGATACGATGATTCAATAAAACGCAGCCGACAAACTGCTACTGCTCTAGATCCAAAATGAGGAAACTTGATCACCGTGGGATCTGAACCGAATTCCTGAGGTAAAAAGACATTCCATGAGATCAAAAGGCGATTTGTCGTGGTTAACTGAAATCTTATAGAAAAGAATAAGATACCTACTATTCCCCATGCCTTACCACATGTACGTCCCTTAATCTAAGCTCACAGTTTGCAGGGAGGAATTATGATGGCATAAGGGCAGGCTCTATTTTAAGTAATCCTCAATTCAAACTTGAGAACATCCTAGAAGAGAGATTCAGGTCTGTTTTAAGTGGGTCTCCTTCAAAATCAAATTAGTGTGCAGATGACAATATAAGTTAGATTTAACGGTCTTAAATAGTAATGCAAACAGAATGAGTCGGGGACGTAAAAATATTTTCAGTATCCTATTAGAATTTTTAATGATGTTTTGATAACTTTTTCTTTTCCTATCAATGTCTTTCCTCGCTTAAAGGAAGAAAAGCTGTCTAAAATTGTTTTCCAAATCCATCAAATACGTCAGTACTTATACAGAGCATACAAACCGGTATTTTCTGGTAAAATAGGGTCATAAACTGAAACACGGTATCATCGTTTTCTTTGAAAACTACTGTGGGTCGGTTTAGTGGGCTAAATCGTTCAATTTTTTCAAGTTGCAGACTGGAGAAGTTTTGTTCACGATAAGGATTCACGGGATCGCATTTGGGTGAACCAGAACGTTTCGATAATAAAGCAGGCAGCTGTGCTTTCAGTTTAGTCGAATGAAAATTTCAACTGAATGAGGTATACAGCAAACGATCTCACTGTTTGCGCAGAGTAGTCCGCACGTTGGCAATTACACCTGGTGTAACGGTGATACTGCTGATGGAGAGGCACGCGTGTAGTATGTGTTGTTCGTAGAACTTCGCTTTGCGTCTACTGAAAAAAGGAGATCTGTTGCGGAATTCGTGGAGCCACTTTGTAACATTTGCTTGGATTTGACCGACGAATGAGTGGAGTCAATGAATCTCCAGGAAAGTTCAAGAAGACTCTTTCGGGAGAAGATCGGTGTCCAGTTTTTGTAACTAAGATGCAGATTAGACTTTTGCTTCCCTGTTCAATGGTCTGTAACCGGTCAGTTGGCATTTCCTAATTAAATAACTCCGCAGCGAAGGCTTTCTTCCTTTCACTGGTATACATTTAAACTTACCTAAGTCCGAGCTTGATTAGGTTTTTCTTGCGAATTTGTGGTCTTTATCTGCGTTGCTAAATAACACTGCGCAACAGGTACTGGCTTTCAGAATGATCTGCCACATCGAATGACATCCTGATCGCTGATCGCGTCAATAAATAATCCATCGTAATTTTTTGCAAAAGTTTCGAATGTTCACCATAAATCTTTGTGGGTTAGGTTTATGATTGATCGACTACGCTCTGCATTTTTACCTGAGCAGTCGCAAGACTGTCGGTCACGGTTTTGGACCTCTAAAACAAAGGAAAGAAAATTGTAGCAACTGTCTTAGCCCGGTGAATTCAAAAGTCAATCTGCTGCGAACCGTTTAAGATTGAATAACCACGGGTCCCCAACTAAGATGTTTTTGAATATAATCCACAGATCAAAGACTGAAAAATAACTTTGAATATACACCCAGTATTTTCTGGATTCCGATCCGAGTGAGTGAAATGTTGCATATTTTTGTTCTAATATTTACTGTTTCATAGCATCATTTATCGTTTGTCTTTGTCACAACCACAAAAAAATGAATACAAGCGATGAATGCGAAACGGTAACAGGAGAATATGAGAGGAAAGAGAGAAACGTCTCATTCGAAGTCATTCCACTGATAGTTCCAGTCAAATGCAATGAATTCCAACCTATGTAAAAAAATTGTGTGGAAACACGCGTCTAAATATCAACAACCGAAGAAAGGAAAAAGAATGCTGAGTGCTCTCCAAGGCACGGTAAGCGCTAGAACAGTCAAGGCTCGCACATCGGCACAAAGCGTCCGTCATTCTGGGTCTCGTGTGAGATTAAATGAATAATGTGTATCCCAGTCGACAGGGACGTTTTACGAGTTCTCTTGCAACTAGATTATGACGAGCACATCTAGAGTCATGCGTGGTCCTCAGAACTGCAAAATATGCACCAAACTCCCCGGTTGGCCACATTTTCCACGACATAAGATCGTCCGGCCGGCATGACCATGCCGAGCGCTTCTAACTTTCGTCCTGAGCAGTTTGCATCGGAGCTGGATACCGCGGATAAATATCCGAGGAAATACAATCCGTTGATTAAAAAAAGGTGAAGTGACCAACTCTCGTAAACCGCGACCGTCAACGGTGTTGTGCAGACTATCGCCCCAAGCAGCCACCAGCTCTTCCTTGGTGTTTACGCATGCACCATGGACTCGGATCGGAGGGCTGAGATCCCGAACAATCTTGCCGAATGCGGAATCTTTGACCACATTGCGTAGTACTCAGCACTGTGTAGAAAGGACCTTTTCCATACGCGTTCTCCGCTCCATCGGGATTGTTGCACTCAGACTTGAGATACCAAGTCCCCCATGTTGTTTACCGGCGAGGATGTAGCTGATTGGGGTGTCCTTTGGTGAACGTGGCCAGCCACAAATATATTGTCTGATGTAGTTGTCCGATCTTTTGAGGGTGTTTTGGTGAACTTGGCCCAGTATGAGCGAATATGTCAGCCTCGGTAGCAGGTAGTTCCTCGTGATCTCCATTCTTCGATGCGGCTACAACGGGGCAAGCTTTACCTCATCGAGCAGTTTGAGCAGGTACGCTCGGTGGTTAAAGATCCCTTTTCCCTTGGAAATAAAGGGAATGCCCAAATATGTTGCGGTGTCTTTCGAACCCAGAGGAGTAGTGAGTCCCTAGGCGGAGTAAAATGGTTCAACTGACACTGCTATCGCCTGATGTTTCCTGTCTCCACAAATCACCATTCTTTTCGTCTTTCGGGCGTTTATTTTCATGACTGCTCTTCCCAACTCGATCGCAGCAGCTTCAAGCTTCTCTTTAAGGCGACTCTGATTTTCTGCACACACGAACCAGTCGTCAGCGAAGACAAAACCATCTACCACGGTGTCATGGAACTGGTATCCCAGTTGCGGCATCGACAATCCATTGCCATGATGTTGTGTAGATCCTTCCATGAATCATCGAGCGCAGCAGACGCTGCATCTTTCCGTCTTTGATGGTATATGGTCTAGTTGGTGGCGTAGTTTGCTCGGCGGATCCGCTTTCGGTTGACCGGGATCCAATGGGCTAACTGAGGACGGCGTAGGGATACAGTTTTTCAAGTGTGTGGAAATGCCCTGGAGGCGTGGAGGTTCAGAAGCGACAGGACTTGCTCCGATGTCATGATGCCAGATTGCGACCCTCGGGCAAATTTCAGAGGGTCAACTCTAGCAAGTGAACTGTCGGCATAGAGTTCCAATAGTGACACGGCGCAATCCATGGTTTGTTTAAACTAGACGCTATAGTCATCGACTTCTGACGAGTAGGCCGCAATTTGACCGATAGTTTGATCAAACCCACCAGATGGTGATGGGTCTTGTTGTGCTTGCCACTTAAGCTTCCGAAACCTGGTACTGATGCTGATAGCCGATCGATCAGGAAACTACTGTTCCAATCTCCTGAACAACGCAGTTTGCGTGTCACAAGATGGATATAAATTGTTAGCCAGGTGCAAGAGCGATTGTGACTCTTGTTGGGATCAGCGTGTACCGAAATACTTCACTCGGCCAAGCTTATCTGCATTATGCTGGGTGGGGTGTGCATGCTGGCGATGTTGACTTGGGCGAGTCTTCGTCAGAAAGGGCGGGAACAATCAGCACAGGACAATCGGGTGACCATGTTCGTACCAAAACTTTGGTTGTCGTGAACTCGTTGGTGGGCTGCCAAGTCAGCTTTCGATTTGCAGCACTTGCCACTTTCCTCAAATGTGAGCCCCACGAGTCTCTCCTGTGTACTGGTTGGAACCAGTGCGGAGGCGCCAGATGATTCGTAGTGTACATTGTTGAAAGTAACCAGCACATTGAAACTAAACAGGGTGGTTAGCCCTCTCTGAAGTTGCTGAACTCTCAGCTCACCCAGACTGACGTCCAGGCTACCCGGTCGGTACCACGAGGAGGTGGTTCACCTCGCTGACCATTTCTTTCGGAAGCCTTTCAGCCCTACTTAGCTAGGGTTTCTCCTAACTCTTTCCCACGCTGCCATATTTAAAATACTCTTGAATCGTCGACACAACCAAGTTGAATGAGCGAGGGGAACCACAACTATGGAGAAATGCGTGATTTTCGGTAATTAGGTAATCCAATTTGCTTAGATCTAAAAATAACAAGAAACGGGAAATTCTCGAAAGAATTGACTTATTTGATCCAATCCAGATTTCTGCCTCACTTGTTTTTTGATCAATAGCCTTAATATTCTATGGTCTGTTAATGCCAAAATATGGGAGATATCAGGCGAAATATGAGCGGTGACTCTGAATTAATCGATAGGTTGCATGTCGGAAGGCGGACAATTGATTAACACACGGAGAAGTACGCCAATCGAATGGACTGCGAACAGAGAGAAACAGGTACTAGGCTGTTGACGACTTTCGACAAAACTTCTGACTTTTATCACCAATAATACCTATTCATTCACCTACTGGGAGACAAACGTTTCCAAACTTGAACAACTGTGTTTTAGAGAAACTTTGTATTACAGAACGTTTGAATGTATAAACATGAATACACACCTGTCACGCAAATGCTGACACAGTATGGACGGCATCATTTGTAGTTAGATGGATAGCCCATATGTTTGTTTGACCAGACGTACAGGCAACAGTTTTATTATCACGCATTTGAGCTGAGAGGAAGAAAACAAGGATGTTGTTGATAAACTGTAACTCGGAATAGGTCCTGCAACTTTGCTGGGAATATGCTTGACGCATCTATTCCACCACATTTCAAATATGTCATTTTACACTACAGAACTGTTGAATGGTTTAGCGGTCACAATTCCTGGTGCTCTTGTTCTGTATGGACAATATCATTACACTGCTTGTTCGTCCGCATCTCTCCGGTACATTTTCTCTAATAGCTGCATGTGCTTCGTGTGTTTGTGTTTTGAACTATCAAGATGATGTTGAAAAATCGATAACACACAACAGAGCAGCTGTCACTGTGCCTGACCACGCAGCATGCACCAAGCACAAAATTTTGTGACAAATCAATACTTATCTAGCTGAGTTTATCTTCTTTTAATCTTTTATATGAATAAAGTGTTTAAGCTGGGAGGCTATTGATGTAAACCACCTAAAACGGTTTATCGTGTCTCACTTAAACCCGGTGAATCATCCATTTTTTGCGTTTCAGTTTCATACAATGTGATGTGCTCGAAGAAATAATAAGTTTCCTGAGTTGATTGGTATATTATTGCGCACAAAACGAGTGCGTGGAATATCGTTACTGGTTAGACAAAGTGGAACTGGTGTCATCTACCTTGAACTATCGGTTGCAAGGGACTAATTCATATTGGTCCAGATAGGGTGATTTGTTAACAAGGTCAGAGAGCCATGTATGGGAGACAGTGAGATAACATTCTGTTGAAATTCTTTTCAGTAGGGATTCGTGCCAGAACTGCCTCATTATAAAACCGATCAGTTAGTTGGTTTTATCTGGATAGTAGTTTCGTCCGGATTATCTTATCGTTTGCCAACTTCTACCCTAGCCTATGCCAAAGTTAGAAACGCGTCTGAACTTTAGAATGAAATCTAGCACATTTTCGTTTAGTTTGGGTTTCGTTTCATTGAAACTTGACGCCGTCAACTCCCCTTCGATTAAATTGATGTGCGAATGATGCTAGGAGCAAAATAATGAAGGACCATATGGGGTGTTGTGGGGGTTTCCAATTTAGTTAGGATTATTCGTGGTGCATGATCCGATACGTTAAAATGCATAAGGTCTGTGAATTTTTCACGAATTTACTCTGTCACAGTTGCTGATGTGGCGAATTTGAACGGCTTCATTCCAAGTTGCAAAGGGGTTTTGTTTTAATCTTGATTCCGTCCGTTTTTCTCGTTATAAGTCACCTTTCCGCATGTTATCTTCCTAAGCATCTGATATTTCGATGGTAAGTTAGGATTTCGAGTTTATTATAGCTAAATTACTTAGTTTAAAAACTACATTCATTGCGCATTGTGTGCGGTAGTCAACCTATCTTTTCCTTGAGGTAGGTAGATGTGATGCAGACTGCTGAAAAACAGGGTCAAAGACAAGCAAACAATAGATGAATGTCAGAAGGAAGCCCACTAAAATGTCAAGTGTTTTGTGAAACGTTTTGCGTACTCACGGCTTTAGGCAATCGACTTCATCGAATGCAGTTTCAGCGTATATAAGTAGCCAAAATTGTTTACGATGTGTATGATGCAGTTATCCACACTATCTTTCTCACTTTACTAGAGAAACGGATTTGACATGTCTGCAAATGTCCTATTGGAAGTGTCCAGATCCACTGCAATTTAGACGGTGTGGACAACAACATCACGGACAGCGCAGTTTATGAATATGCACAAGTTGAAACCTGGATGTCGATTCCCAGTGATTTGTCATAATTTATGCAAATGTTCTTGTAGCGAGCTTTAGTCGTGCGGACAATTGTGAATGTAGTCTGTGCGCCGCACAGACTATGATATAGTCGTCTTTTTTGGTGGAACTACCCTCCAGAAAAGGTTACTTTGACTTGATTAGTTGAAGGCTATTTCAGTAGTATAGTCATATCCGAAAAGTCCAATTTCTTCAGTTCGTTTTGGCGACCCATCTAGGGAGCCTGGAATGTATCTGAGGGGCAACCTAACACCGAATCACTTGGTGTTAACTGCGAGGTTAGTGTATGGTGGTCTCACTTCTTTTTGAAGTGTAAGCGACTCATACGGCTGATCATCAATTGTCAGCCTCACAATTCAAACGCTGAATGAAATACGGCGGTTTCAAATCCCATTAGAAAATTTCGATGTGTACAGCGCCGACCAATTTTAAAGAAGGTAGCCTGAATTTTCAACCGAGACCAACTTTGCTTGCAAGTGGTTGAGTCATTAGTGACCATGGTGTTCCAAAGAGCGTTTACGTCTTTCGAGGTTGGGCTTGATGAAAATTGTTCAGTATCCTTCTGGCTTCTAAATAAGCTCAACGAGTTGAAAGTGAAGACATTGCAAAACCTGTTCTCGAAGCAATGAATGAATTTCAGCTTGGCGAAGTGAATTCGCACCAATTTTGACCTGATTCTGCGGGTAAAAATAGGTGGAACGGTTCTCGTAAGCCTTTATTCATCACTTATAATTCGTTTTATCCCCTTTTGTCAAAACATGTTACCATGAAACGGTTCCCACATTTCCACCCTTTTGGTTAGGCCAGATGTGGGATAAATTTTTTGTGACGGATGCGGTCATTTGGTCGTCCAATGCAATGTTTCGCCATCTTAGGGCTACTCTCGGGGGAAACCGCTGAGATTGGTTTGAGTTCTACGAGATGGCAAACTTGTTTCAAATAGAAGATCTACAGTGAGCGAGTTTTAGCCAAAAAACCACAAAATAAAGGGTTGGTATTAAAAAAAACGGGCTAAGAGGGGGCACTAACTGTGTCTTTTTGGCTTACCTCAGGCCGGAAGTAATTATCTCTTTCATTTTTGGATTGCTAGAAAGACACCAATGCGCAATGATGAGTTTATCATCCGGCTGTAATATGAGGTTTGCGAACTATAGCAGTCAGTCTACAAGACTTCATGTATGTGCGCTCGGGTAGACAATTGCTTTCAGATTAAACCTCCTCATGAGGTTGCTTTCCTTCCGGTAGTTCATCCTAGATTCAAATTTGTGGTCATTGACTGATGTCCCAAAACAATATTATAATTACCGAAACAAAATCCGTAAATGTTGTCCGATGAGTGCTTTGCAGTTCAGGTTTCCCCTTACTATTAAAGCCGGTCAAAAGAGCTACTGTTTGGAAAACTTTACGATTTCATGGCTGCTGACAACCAAAAGTTCTCCAGAATTCGTTCGCATGATTGTGGTCTGAACATTCCTCCAGCTGTTCTGTTGCGATCATCACAGCTAGTTTATGAGAAAGGGTGGAAGCACTGGACTAAAATTCCTATCAATGCCGAATATTCATTGCCGTGCTAGAGGCTCCAGACAGGTGGTATGGGAGGCCGAGAAGAACAATCAGACCAGGAGGAGCACGGTTCAACCTACATGAAGGAGACTATTAGTATTACGATTCAGTTTGTCAAACCGCGCAAATTTGGTGATCTTTTTACATGACCACAGCTCTACATTCTCTTGTGGTGAGTGAGAGCTTCAGCTGTCTGCGGCCATTATCAATGTTCTTTTCTGAGCACACTTTTCTGAGCTGAAAGCTCCTTGATAGCCTGAAACCAATCTTATTCTTCCTTTGGCTCATTAGTAGGTAATTTCGAAGGGCCTGTTAGTAGTGTCAAGTATATATATATATATATANGTTAGTAGTGTCAAGAATATAAGTATATATATATATATATATATCGATGTTGGTGCCAGCTGAAAAATGAGGCGGTCTTTGTGTAGCACATTTATACAAAGAATATAACTGACAAGGGCTTAACCTCGGATTCAGCCGAGCATCCTGGTAACACCGAATTAGTTAGCAAATGAGTGAATTTTCACAAATCCTCTGTTGATGGATCTTACATCAGAATTCACCCAATGTTCATTTGTTTCAGCATTAAACGACCGAAGTTCTGTTGTCCTCGGCAGTGCATCACGGATCAGATTAGTCCAGCCTCAGACAGAAACCTTAAACTTGTGTCATTCACTGCAGCATACCGTTGAGTCGGTTTCATATTTTCCGCTAAATAATGAATTTTTGTTCTTAGTACACTGCTGATGATAACTGAGTGAATCCTGAATGAGGCCCGATGAACAACTGCCGACAATTAGCATACAACTTGAGCTTAGTCTAATGACTGGAGCAAGGGCCGTTGGCGCGGATAAGGGACTAGAAGTTGGTGGGTTGTCCTAGGGATAAAACTTTTATCTGCATCATACCTTTGGTTTTATGACGCGTGCGTAGTTTACATTGGTTTCGCCTAAATCAGATTGCTTTACCAAACCATGCAAAATGTGAAACTTTTGTTTTGCATGACATAAAAATGATAGCTATGATCGTAAATGTGACTTAGCACCACCTGATGTTTCTACTGGGAAACTATCAGATTAAACCACAAGTAAAATGCATAGACTGGAATTAGCATCAGTTGACTAGTTTTCGCGTATAATTTATCTTGTATTCCTTATTTCGTTCATTCTATTTCACAGGCTTCGTAAACGTGCCAAACCCGAACTGGAGAACGCGCGATACCGGGATATCTCCCTCAAGTTGTCCGTTCAAGAGGTCAAAAATGTTACACCCAAAGGAAGGTGAGTGTCAGATTGAGTTTGGAGTCGTTTTGTGTAATTTACTGAAGTGTGAGTAACCTATGTCATGTCAGCAACCTAAGTGAAGCAAATCTTAGGTAAGTCCGAAAGCATAAGGCAACTTCGTCGGGAGCATAAAAATGCGTTCACCTTACAGGCACTTTGCACTCTCCTAAAGATTCCATGTAATATCAAAGTCTCAATTACCGGTCATTACATTTTAGAAGGATTGTGATCGTATCTTGAAAAAGTCAATCACATCAATTGTTTGGTTCCTGTTTAGATGAAATGTCCCATCTTGTTAGTTGATGAGATCCGGCCACATCCTTTTGAACCTCCGAAATCATTGCTTGGCTAATTTAAATTCCTCCAGCAAAATAAATGACTATCGACAAAAAACAATGTGTTTACTCACCAGCGAACGGATTGTTGGTATTAATCATTAACTGGTTGGATAATAGAGCGTGCTAAATAAATTTTAGTGGTGCAAATGATGTATAGTTGGACTATGGCTTGACAGATACGACCCCCAGACCGTAGAAGATGGGAATACTAGATTGTGATTGACTGATGTCTTTTCTTTTAAGGAGCTTATGCAGTCTGTGATCGTGGAATGCTTAATAGGTTCAGGCGCACTACTTACACCGTGACCGAAAGTGCAGGAAAATTGCAATCAATATTTTTTCAGTGTTTTGGTCGTTTTACTAGGAAGTTTGCTATAGATGTATGAGAGTGGCTGACCAACTTATCTTTCGGATAACGGGCCGAAAGGGTAAGTGTGTCGAACAGTTTGTCCAAATGAAGTCGGCTGCGCACCCTGTAAGTCAGGTGTTTTCAGTGGCCATTGGTCCTAATGTGTTATTTATAAATTGATCTCCCATTGTCCAATACTGTCTAGTTCACTGTTTTTGTATTGTGGACTTGAAAAAGCCTACTATGATGCACCGTACAACCACCTGCCTACCTGCTGACAATTTTTTCTCTTTGGGCAGACCTCAACGTTTTGCCCGTTATATCATCTGGGGTTAGTAAAAAGATCGTTCAACTGTAACACCATTTCGACGCATAGTTGCCATGTATCCCGTGAGAAGCAACTGTTAGGGGTCTACTTTAAAAGACTGTTTTCAACCAAATTGCACCAAACTACTGATATATTCAAACGGGAGCTGAACAAGTAGTAGGTAGTGGATCGTTATAAATCCCTCCAGATACGGCGACTACGTACACAAACGGTGACTCTCGAAAACGGGAATATTTTCGCCGTGTATTTTCATCGAATGGTTTACAAAAGAGCAGAGTTCATGGTTAGACAAATAATCTTATGAGAAACAAGGCCCTGAAGTTTATTACTTCGACAGAGAATACAGCAGCACTTGTTACAAATCTAAAGTAGGACTGATCGGTTCCAGAATAGTAATTTCTCGTGCGACACATTCTATTTAGCAATGATCAGCGGAATGTAGGGGGATTTCTTCGAAAGTTGTTTATATTCATACGACGGGTTACAGCAAAAGTAATTGGTTCACGACCTCATTTATGCCACTGCAATCGAAAAATCCAAACGGCTGCCTTGTTCATTTCTGTGAATGGGCGGAAACCTGAAAAGAGTTCAACTGTCAGAGAAATTTCCTGGCCTTTTGCGTTCTTTACGGAAGATCTGGTAATTAGAAAGTGTTAATTGCAGGGCAGAAGATGAACTCAGGCGTTTAATTCCTGTTACATGCAATCGATGATTACCACTCAGGGTTTAAAACGTATCGTGGGAGTTCTTCGACGAAAAATCGTTACTGCCTTATAATTACCATTTGCAAATCTTCAAACCCAAGGTTTGTTATTGGTCATTTTATCCGTACAGACTATGAAAGTTAAGAAACAGTTGCCTGACCATTCGATAATAGTCACACCCTACAAATCTTGGTTGAGTTTCAAACCGGGTACAAGCTTGCTGTTACCACCATGAATGAAGGAATCAATCAGATGATTGAATCTCAAACTTTTCTATTCCTTAATCGTCACATGTGTGCATCAGTGATGCAGGCATGACGGTTTTACTCTCTGCGGTCCACATAGATCAGTTCCGTCCTTACGACCTGATGTGTTTTGATACTGTGTGATAAACCTAAGATGTTCATTCGGGGATTACAGAGGCGCTAGAGAGATATTATTGTGGGCAACATGGGACTAATTTCCATAACAGGTGGTTCGGCACGTGTGATGGATACTAACACGCATCAACAGACACGATCCTGTAAAGAGACCAGAAAAATAGCGAACTAGCTAGCAGGTGTGCAAAAACAAATCAGCACGAGTCCCTTTATTAGCTTATGGATGACGTTTGCCTGAATAAAACTCGACATCTGCGGCATTCATATTTAACCACCATAACTGCGTTTGATGCGTTTCACTCAGTAAAGCAGTGAGAAAGTATGGGTAGTCATTGATGTGCGTCATCAGTGCGAAAGGCCTTAGTACTACGGCCAACCCGTTCTTAGAAGGGTTTTTAGACAGTCACTCCGAGGATCTGGTCACTCAGCAGGGAGCGGATGTATGATTCGCTTTGCGATTATCCATTCAGCAGTACAATGAATTTATAGAGATAATTCACGTGAGTTTTACCAGTTTCCTGTTAAACTTAAACACAGCGAATTATTCTACAAACAGAATGCTTTGCCTCACATCTCCGTAGATTCCATAGTATATTGTCGAACAATGAATTCAGTGTTTAGTTGAATCTGAGTGCATGGACGGTGTTCCGATGTTTAGAGTCCTGGTCGTGACAAACTATGCTTCACTTATCGGCGTCGTTGTCGTCATAGACAAACGTCAACAGAGAATGTATGTTTGGATTTACTGAAGTTTATAGTGCACTTTGAGACTCTGAAAATTCGTCTGTCATCTCGGACCGTGAACCCTTATTTGAGACAGATTTCTGATACCTCCTTCTTGAGATGTGCTTGTATGCTTCTCTGACAACGCCTTGTCTGTGAATTCAATTAAAGTTGCTCACCAGTACAAACAAAACATCAATGCGTGTAATGAGAAGACTTTAGCGCACTGTGAATTTATTTATATATGTATATATACATCGTGTGAAACCTGAAAATGGACTATTCATGACTCCAGCCAATGGCTGATTCAGGCATAAGACGCGTACACTGCGTCGGATGAGTGGGCCGAGTGTGGGAATCCGAAACTGGTAGATACCACATTGCAAATGTAATATGGGAGAACATTAAAAACTGAAATGCATCCAGCACAGTGGCACCAAATGCTGTTCCGACAAAATAGAGGTATTCTGCAGTTTCCGATATTTGATTCCTAGTTATCCCTTCTCAGGAAAGGCAATCAGTTCTGAAAAGGGACAGCTTTTTTCTACCCCAGAGCACTCAACATAAAAATGTCTGTGCAAGGGTTTCTACCACTTTAACTCCCGGTTAAATTGGCGCCCAATTCCTCCTCTGATTTCAATTTTCAAATATTTTGTTCGCTAAAAGAAGGATGCTCTGATCCGTTATCACAGCCGGGATTCAAATCTCTGTAGGTGTATTCGGCAACTTTGTGACATCTGAGTTTCTACACGAACGTATTCCTCCGCCGAAACTTATTGGACAGCAAAGATTACGTGACTTATCCATTTACCCGGATTCTAATGATGGCATAATGTGATATGTTGCTGGCATTTTATCAGCCACAAACAATCTTTCTAGTTCTACCCTGTGACTAGCCTAAATGTCACTGAAGATGTTCTTGATTCTGTCTATGATTTGGTGAATTGTTGTCGCATAGGTTTATCTGGCAATGATCTCAATACCTCTTTGATTGAATAAAATGACTGTGGTGGAAGTAAACTTTTGTAAAGCTTTTCAAAACTAACCAAACCTGAGACCACACTATAAGAACGGCTTGTGTGGACTATACAATTACCTTCCGAATATCTTTAATGGGTATTTTGTTCTAGTGAACTATTTAGGTGTCCTAAATATGGGTAAATAGTTCCAGTGGAATAAATATGTTCTCCAGAACAACACACAACGTGGATGTGCACAAGTTAGCTGTTTACATGAATGGCGTTGTTCAAACAGTTTCCTACTGTGATTGACATGCTCTGTTGACAGGACACACTGTGTACGCACTCCTCATCACCTGTTATACAAAATCAGTGACTGCTTGCCGAATTCGATGTCATCAGTGTGAACAATTTTGTCCGTGTAAAGGTCGATAGTTTTATTTACATCATAGGGTAGGGTGAAACTGGTGAAACATTGCATCCTATGAGAAACTGAGCAACTGGTTCGCTTTTGCTGCAGTCACCTGCATTTTTTTAACCCTTGTGTTTTCACAAAGGCTTGCTTCACATAACGAATCGGTTAGGATAGTCGAAGACGTTAAAAAGTAAGGAGAAAACATATGTAAAACCATCAGTACCTATTTCCACTCATACATGTATTGTAAACATTGGTTTGCACCATCTTCTCGATGTGGTCATTTGTGGTAAGCCAAGTTGCCGCAAAGTCCGATTGAGAAAATATGAATGCAGAGAATTGGATATGGACAGCAGTGGAGTCAAGACTAAACGAAAAAAAGGAAAAAATTTTATGTTCCCACATTTTGTAAGTTGTTGTCCGGAAACCACGTTAAGTAGAGTACGTCACAGGCGACAGTTGTACATAACTTTTTAGAGATCCTATAGTGATAGAAATAGGACAGAGGCAATAATTTACATATTGGCAGACTAGTTCGTCTAAGATGAGGTTGCCGAATCAATCGCGCAGACACAGCCTGCCATACTGTATTCATACTGTATTCTAACATAGCAAGCAAGCGTGTAAACTTTGGCGAACTGCGTCAATATCCGCCGGAGATCTGTTTGCAAGTGCTTCCTTTAATCATTCTGTTTTCAACGAAGCGTCCAAAATTACGACAAACCTATGATAAACAGATGACGAAAAAATTAAACCCCTAATTTATGGTTGACCGGATGACGCAAAGCGGTTCATGCGGTA